CAAGATTCTCCAATTTCTCTTTGGTTTTCGCCTGTCCAGCCGCTGCTTGTGCGAGATATCCCGCATGCTCTGAACTATGACTATGAATATGATCTGCATAGCAATGAATATTTCCAAGAGGACACAAGTCATTGAAATGCAGCAGAAAGAGAGTAAGGGATAGGACGGAGCTCTGAGGTCAGCTGGCATTCACTGACATGAACCGCGAACTACTACCATCCGTAAGGAACGAATTGAAGAGGAAAGAAAAGTTCATGTAGGAAATCAGAAGGAACAGAACTGGGCTGGCAGAGCGGTTGCCGAAAGCTTGGAGAGAATGCTTTTATGTTAGACCCTGTCGCACGCCTTGGCAATGTCAAGGTTAATAGCCAACGACTCGCCATTTGTCGATTGCCTCATCCCAGATATGAGTGAAGTACGCTAGAAAATTACCCGTCCATCGCTTCGGTCTAAAATCATATTGACGATCATTAATCAGGGAGTGATCCTCCAGGTAGTGGATCAGATGGTTGTTAGGGACTTTTCTAGGAATTAATATAATACTGAGGTGACTGTTATTGGTCGGTAGTAAGGCGGGTCTGACCGATCGCTTCAGGCACTGGTTGCACGTTGGCATCTATCCAAGACTCCGGCACACACCCCGAACAATACGAGCGTTGGTATAAGCGCATGAGTACGGGAGACAACTCTGATCCACATTTCTAAGTACAACTACTCGGATGCTATCAGGTCCACTAGCTTACCGGGCGCCGAGTGATTGCAATTCAGCGCGAACCTCACGCTGCCTGATTTTGATATCAGGCATCGTTGTGTCACAATGAGGTAATGATGGTGGCACTGCATTGCAATCATCGATTCGGGAGTTAGCTGCAAAGAGATGTAAGCCTTCTAAAAGGTCTTGGAAGCAAAATTGTAGGCTACTTTTAGTGAATCCTAAAGAGCGCGGCCTCTGATCCAAGCACGATACGCCGCTTGCTTATGCGAAACAGCTTCAGCACAGTCACGATTGAACCAGAGGTTACGTGTGCCCTTACTGATTAGATTATAATGAGGAATATAGTGTTCCATTTTCATTACAATCTCCTCAGTAATCTCATCGACTGCTATCGACGATAGGTTGACGACTGCCGGCGACGGGTTGTCGTCTGCTGCCGTAAGGTGATGTCGCCTACAGTCGCGATGCCGTTGGCTGCGAACCACTCGTATAATATATATACCCTATATAACACAAAGATTTATTTTGACTGGAGACTATGATTGTTATGACTTTCTATATTTTACCATAACAGATATGGTTTGTAACAATGATACGAAGGTATTATGAACATAATGTTCTTACTTACATACTAATCATCTCCACGTCTGCTTATTTGGGTACCGGTAGATCCTGTGTTTGTAAAACATCTTGTTCTTAGAATGTGTTAGTGTCGGGTGAACAATGTATAACATATCAACTCTTGTAACTTTTTTTATAATAATTCTCTGTAACGATAGAATATTGTTACAAATTTATTCCCTCCCTGTATAAGTTTAGGCCTTTTTATCGCCTTTACATGCAACCGATTTGCAAACGGTTGTTTACTTGCTACCGAATTGCGAGAGTAAAATTATTAATTATACACACGAAGGAACAAGGAACGTCTGGGGAAGTAACCTCCACCTTACAGAACACCACAGTAATAACTCTAACTTTTGGTGGTGTTGTGTTTCTGTCGGTGAGTAAGGTTCCAGGGCTCAACCAGGATTGGGATTGGGTCAAGTTAGGCAATGGCGTAGCTTGAGTGATATTTTTTGTCTATAGGCTAATGGCCGCTCACCATCAGGCGGTTCATTTGCCACCTTTTTTTTATAACAATAGAAATATTTTTTTCCATCGCAATAATAGGTATTTTTGATTTCGTTACTGGTCCTATAGCTAATAAAAAAGATACAAATTGTATCTATTTAGGTAATATGGCGAACTTAAGATTAATATGATTAATGTGATTATTGTAACTGGAAACGTTTTCAGTTATATTACATTTTTCTGACACACGTTAGCTCTTGAAAATCTGAGTAGGTATACGTATGTTTATGATAGCATTAAATGAATTTACTATAAACCAAATTGAATCAGGTGTACTCATATGTTTTTCTATAATAAACATTTTTTATATGCAGACCAGACTAGCGTGAGACATTTATCTCTTATCTATCTAAAACAAATGATTCTTCTTATCTTCACTATGTATTTGATTTGATAAAGTCTACGCATGCGATTTTAGTTGATAAGGTAGAATGAGTAAATTTTCATTGATTAGATAACTTTACACACTGAGAAATACAGGAACTTGTTTTAAGCATTAATTTGAACTTATGACGTGAAGATTACTCCTACTGAGTCGAATGTTATCATTAAATTTTACAAAACTACATGGAACATGAGTAATAAATGTTTTATGAATTTTATACGACAGTCATAATCAGATAAAATTGCATTAAATGATAATAAAGGAAAATAAACAAGAATAATGCTAAATCAAATAATTTCACGGTAAGTTGGTATTTACATACTAACAATTATTAATGGAATTTGTATTCAAACTGATAATTTAATTTAGGGACAGTGATAAAAGCAAAACATTGGTCTTAACATTTTATTCTAGTAATATTTTCTCAAAATTTTTACTCAAAATTAAAATATTAAAAAGTTTTTTTAACCAATTAAGTAAGTTTAAGTAAGTATGGAACCCGAAACTTTAAAGTTAAAAGTGGTTTTGTAACAACTGGGATAAAATTACTTAGTAGCTAAATAAATAAGGGAGACAGGTAAATAAAGTAAGTTATCATCAAAAACTTTTTACCCCATTTGCATTTATTATACATATATAGGCACTTCAATAGATTTGGTCTATTCAGGGAGGGTGAGATAATTTGCTTTGCTTTTTCAAAAGTAACAATGTATTTATTGATCCAAAATTTTTAATTAAAATCATAAATCAATCAACACTATCAAAAATTTTCATGTCAGAACTTAAGAGTTAAACTAAATGTTCATACATTTTTCACATCACTGTTCGATCGTTAGTCAAATCGGTCTAAAATCGGTTAAATTTATTAAATTAAAATAGTCTTTAATTTATCTCAAACTCATTATGCATTTTTTATTAATTAAAAAAGTTTCATCACATGTGAAAGTCGTCTCTTTGGTGTAGGCCTCCTCCATCGATCGTTCGTTAGCTAAGTGCTTTAAAAATAAACAAAGGTCGTTTGTAAGTCTGCTTCAGTTTCTGGGTTCTATCAAGTTGTTTCTTTTAGCTACATTTATTACCGGGACTGTGAAATGTAGCTACATGAATCCATATTTACCAATCCCAAATGTGCGCAGGATATAATATAGTAAAACTTTTTTTAATTTATAAATGTACGACTTATAAAAATTAATAAATATTTTCGCTAAAGAAAGTGCTAGAAACTGCTTCGAATCTTATTTTCTATTCAACGGGGTCTCATTTCAAGGTTGTTTTGGTCACTTTGCATTGATGTTGTGTAAATGGTACTTACAGAGCTCTTTCTTTTCTTTGTCGTGCGTTAGTTTGACTGTTTATTTGATGATGTAAGTATCCTTATTTCGCACAACGTCTGCCAATCTATTTTTAGGTATGCATTGCAACAATACTTGAAACTGATATTTTAAGTGTAGATAATTTGTGACATGTCTACATTACATGCTTAGTTGTTTTTTACCTACGGCACACATTTTATAGTACAGTCTTGCTTGAAGTTGTTATAAATATTTTTTAAGTTTCATGTCAACAGATTCCAGAAAGTTGGTAATTAGGAAATTCCAACTTCTCAATCGGAGGAAAAACTACACGGCCTATAATAAGAAGTATGTAATACTAGCGGCCCGCCCTCGTTTCGCTTCGGTGTAGAGCTGAAGTGTAGACTACAGTTTTTGTTCTCAGGCTTATATTATACACAATGACATTCATCTATGATTCTTCTTATACCTACATGCAAAGTCTCAGCGCGATCGGTTTAAAATTGACAAAGTTTCATACAAACTTTCATTCCCTATTTTATCCCCTTAGCGGTAGAATTGATCAAAATCCTTTCTTAGCGGATGCCTACGTCATAAAATCTACCTGCATGCCAAATTTCAGCCCGATCCGTCCAGTGGTTTGGGCTGTGCGTTGATAGATCACTTTGTCAGTCAGTCAGTCACCTTTGAGTTTTATTGTGTTCAATGGATTATGCGATAAAAAAAACTGATTTTCCTGAGAAGGTCTTTGCAAAGACAAATGTCAAGAAAAGTAAGTACTGACCAGAAGTTTCGTCAATAACAAGGACTTTTATGACGCTTAAATTGTAAGTAAAATGGAAATTAGAGTGGTCCGTTCGTAGTGGTCCGTTTTTCAGCCGCAACAGCTATCTTCACAGTTCGACTCCTGAGAGGATTTAAAAAAATCCTACTCTAGTCAGGTACTAACGAACTTTATATTGATTTAAGAAAAAAATAAATGGAAACGCGGTTGACTGAAATTTTACGAATTGGAAGTGTATTGGTATTTTTGCGAGAGGACGTTCATCATTCTATACACCTAAAGGATGCTATTTTTGGCTTAGCTGAATTTTACTTGTCTCCGTTATGCATAACAAATTGAGTTCGGCTCGACATTTCATGGAAATGTTCAATGCTAAAAATATCTTTATCGAGTTTGCAGCACACAAAGACTCATTCATGGACGTTAAGTTAATTATGATAAACCTTCATTGAAACAGAAATTAAAGAAGTGTACGTATAACTACTGTTCTCATGAGTGAAATGTTACGAAATGAGCATGTGTTCCTTTCTAAAAGTTTCAAAGTTCCTCATTTAGACTTAATGCAGCCATTTGAACTTTGAGTTCTAGTAAGGGGCCAGTGACGTTGTCCTCGACGACGCCGTAAAGCTACGTATTGATAGCCCCGGCGCGGCGCATGCGTAATACTTTTGTGTGTGTGCGGTTCTGTCTGGCGGAGCACGCGGCCCGTGCGTGTTATATCTCCGTCTCTTTCATCACGAATAATGTCATCTTTTTCCTGTAACCGAGTGTGGCGCCTCGGCTAATAGCGCCACTGATAGAAGTTTAAAATACCATCTCCGTTTCACTAACCCTCAGTTGTGTTGAAGCTGCCCCCCAGTACGGTACTCATACTGAGCCCTGTGACACGTTCGCCGCAACAGCTGTGAAATTTTATTGCATTGTAGATTTTGTGGAAGACTTCGCTTTTGATTGTAAGCTGACCGCCTGCCCGAGCAGCAGTTGACCTCGTTTTGATTGTGTATTATTGGTAAGTTTACTGAAAATCAAACGGCATGAATGGATATTTACAGTTCGTTTCCTGCTACATGGAAAATGTAACAGTAAAGCTAGTATAACTGGAATAGTTAAACAAATAACATATTTTTAAGTAAGCTATTTGAAAGAACATCCTATACCTGGATACTTTACCTCCATAAAAAACAAAAAATAATTTTACAATTCCACATGGTCATAAGATAAATAAATTAAATAAAGAAGTAAAATAAAACTCATTCTAATAAGTGAGTTTGAAAATTTTATTCTATTTATTAAAAAATATAATGAGAGAGATGAACTCGGCGAATGTTGTAGAAAATTCTGGTTCAGCCCAGCGATGGAGTTTAGCAAATGGCCGACATTTTTCTTGCACTGGCTCCCCGCCGCGCCCGCCCGCTTTCTCCTGTAGCTATGTCAGCCGTCTGTAGTTTAGCTGTCACTTTCGATTTATTGATTTTAAATCCCTGTTATGAAGGTATTTCTCTTCATAGATTGTAAACAATGCAGGCTGTCTATAAAATCAAATATAGTATGTTTACTTAATTATTGAGGCAGTTATGGATACCGGTGCACCTTAAAACAGGCGTTACAGTTCATGATACATGGCATGACCTAAAATCAGAATTATTATTTTGAAATTCTAGATTTTACGATTTGATGTTATCTAAAGATGTCGTAACTAGTTTCAACTATTTTTAAAATCAATTTTTTGAATGATTACAACATATGTGTTATTTAAGTTACCTAATTTGAAACAGTTGTAAGAGTTGAGTACAGTTTTTTGTACATACTTTTTTTGTAACAAAACGAAGGGGCGGATGTTAATGAATGTAAAAAAAAACTAGGGTCCATTCGCCGAGCCACATTTCAATGGATCTTTTTAGCTACCAACACAAAAGTGTTTGCAAGCAGGTAACATGAAAAACACAAAGGTGTTTCTATGGTCAAGGGAAGAATTTCATCGGTAACTTCTAATTTTTTTCATGTTTAAACTTTTAAAAACCAAAACTTCCTGTTTAAATGTAAAAATGGAATAATTTTTATTTCCGAAAAATCTAAATCCTTGGTAATACTTAATGAACGCCAATCTAAACAGTGGTTCTATATTTTAGGATACGGTATTAAGCAATTTAAATCAATATTGAAATATTTTTTAACAGATTTGAATTAAAAATAAATTTCTTTAAATAGATCGGGGACTAGGGCTCTCTTCAATGTTACTTCCGAATTAATTGGCACTTCGACAAATAATAAAAATGAATAACAACGTGTGAAAAAGTACCAAAAACTGAAAATGAAAAATTTAAAAAAACTTTCTAAAGTATTTGACACCTTGAGCGCGACAAAAAAAAAACGCGTCACATATTATAAAAAACTAAAACTACTTACTATTATGTTTTTTTTATTTATTTAAGTGAATTGCAAGTAATGATCAAAATGTAATGTATTTTTGGAGACTATAAAGAACTTTCTTAAATACCTATTATTATATTTATTTCTTCATATCTGACGTCTTTTGAACTGTTTGCGCAAGTGTTTCAAAACTTACTGGAAAATTTCCATAAGTTTTGCAATACTAACTAAATGTAACCTTTTAAGGAAAAATAAGCAACACCGTAAGGTTAAATATAGCTTTTGTTTTGTACTAAATTAATTTTGATAAACCTGTTGAAATAAAAGGATATTATAACGTACGCGAAATTTACGTAACGCGTATTATATTAAGTTTTGTTAGCGAAATAAGTAATCCGGAGTTTACGGAGACATTGCCTTAACATAAACAAAAGACAACTGATAAATTTTACACCAAGAATTTAGTAGGCTGTAAATTCTTAGATTTGAATAGTTTGAAATCTATCATAATAGGTCTGATAAAATTTATACCCACTTACCAGATATTAAGTTCAAACTATCTAATAGTTGGCGTGGTAAAGATTTATTCCACCGTCAGTTCTTTTACTTTGCGATCTCGATGGTCAAATTTTAAAAGGAATAGGATTCTGCTATTCCTCTGTAAAACTAACTGGAAGGGTCCCAAGTTCCCAACAATACTAAATATCATGTGACTAAAGTCTTCAATTCGAACGGAAAGCCTCTGCCATCTCTTTCCTTGTATTTTGTTAGGATTTATATTTAAACATTATTTAATTGTAATACATTTGTTGTACAGACTAAAGAGAGTATTCAAGATGCTCGCTAGCCCAGCAATGGAACTCCAAACTGAAGAAACTCCATTGGCCCTGCAACGGCTCTGGAATCTAACCCGTGCCCGTTTGGCAGGAACTTCTACCGCTTTAGGAGACGAGCCTGAATTTGTGGAATCTCTGCCCATCGCTCAGGTAATTGGAACTTGATATCCAATAAAAATAACAAGCAAGGAAAACAGATAAAAGATACACACTTCGAATACAGAAAAGACAGGTATACAATAAAGTCATATCCAAGGCTGTATCAAAAAATGACATTGATTGGACAAATATTTCAAGTAGGTACCTACCATGAACAGGAAGCTACAACGCTATTAATAACGGTAGTTTAAACTTTAGACAAGTAAAATATGTGTATTTGATAATGAATATCAAAGGGTATTATCATCAATACGATAACAGAATAAAGTCCAGCTGTGTCAAGGATTTTTCGTGCCCATCTGGCCCAGATTTCTAAGTTATCTGTCTTGTTTATATGTCGCGATTCTTGTTTTATTAAGATAAATTGTCGTTATGACTCATTATCTTTTGTACATCCAGATATAATGATTTATTTGCTTTTTGAGTTACCACAATATTATCGTTTTTATTGCTGCATTACAAACACTTTGTTATTGATCGGTAACGCTGCGTATCACATGATATTATTATGCTCATTCCACCATGTCTTATTTAAATCGTTTCTTTATAGGAACCTGAAGGAACACCTAAAAACTACATCCCGGTTCATAGTGATTATGAAAGCGATGCGGAGGAAGCATTTCCTGAGTTGGAAATACCTGTAAGTATACCACACATAAACACCATAAACACCACTCCCTAATATATATGAACTACTTTCCTTTTTGAATTAATTAACTGTTGAGCAGTATCTACTTTTTTTGTAGGTACATAGTTCTCTTAAACAAAGTTATGAATGTAAATAATAGTTTGTATCGTATTATGAGTAGAAGTATTGGTAATTTGAGACAAACAACATTCGATGGTAGTAAACATTGGAAATACGCTTGAACTATCGATAACGTAATGACATGACTAAAGGATGCACTAATCATTATAGACATTTCACGAGACACACCCTTGATACATTTCTAGGTGTCGTCTGCGTCATCACCATCAAATGTACCTACTGAACAATGGAGTACATATTACAGACAGATATAGAACACGATAAGGTATACAAAAATACCGATACAGTTCGTTGTAATTGGACACTTGTTTTGCTTCCCATCCTCCGCTCATTCATGAGTTCTAAGGTCGAGAAAATCAATCTATAAGACTTCTTCTATTAGAATTGTATTGTTTTTCTCGGGTATTGACTTTGTTGATTTCGATTTCATTATAATCAGTTTCATCATTTGTAGCGAGTCATTTAGCGACTGTTTTTGTTTTTATTAATGGTACGAATCTAGACTCTTTTGGAGTGATGCTATGTTCATTCATTTCTAACGGATTATGAGATGGGCTTTACTTTAATACGGTTTTAGATTAAACGTGGGTGGTGTGTGTTTACATGAATTTTGCCAGTAGGAGTAGGAGGTACATATCTCGACCATAAAATCAAGCAGTCCATGCACATGTACTAAAATAGAACGGAGCAAATTTATTTGTAAACCACATTCAATCTCCGAGTGGACTTTGTCCCGTATCCGCTATTCATCTCGTAGTCAACAAAACTACTGTCTGCGCATCACATTCAAGTAGATAACTATTTACAATTGAAAGCCATTTGATAAGTTGTATCCAATTTCTTTTCATTGTGTGTTTATGAATAGCCAATGAAATCACTTTGCAGGATGTATCGAAATCAAATATTGGAAGGCTTATTAGAGGAGAGAATAACGGGTTTTGTTTATCGGTTTTCCAATTTTTTTAGGCTGTAATTGTCCTTCCGTATTTTGAATTTAAGATAGATTCCAACAAAATCTTATTACCTCTAGCACTAGCAACTAGCTTCTGTTACACGTTTCAAGTTTCAATTGAAATCATTCAAAATCAATTATACATTTTCAAGCAGTCATATCGTAAGTTATGTACGGCTGTAAATTTTCTCAAACTGAATTTTAGAATTGTCTGCTTTCAGATTAACAATTTCACTAACGATTGAGAAAATTGGACATTATAATAATTGCTGTACAGAACAAATCAAATAATTAAGATTTGCTACGATTTCTTAAGTGCGTACAGACTGACGTAGCACTTTAGCCATATGATATAACTTTTACTTGGCAAGAAAGTCCAAAACAACATCACGTTTTTGCTTTACATTTGCCAACTAGGTATTCGAATTACCCAGTCGCATTTCCTTACTCTATTCAGTGACGGCCGGTCGATTGGTCTTTGCAGTTAGATTTATACTGTAATTTTATTGTAAACAAAATGATCGCTGAATTGATGCTGTGCGAGTTCAGCGAAGATTCCGGGAGCATCTGTTTAGAAATATTCGAAGTGGGGATTTTATATTTTTTGTTGAGGCGTTTTTGCGAAGAGATGGTTCAAGACAACCGTTTTTCAGGAAGTACCCGATGTGCCAACTAAGGGTTATTGGACGGAAAGCGCCTATGAGAAGGAAGTAGTGTTGGACGCCAGCGCCCTCGGCGATGTTCCAGCCGTTTACCGCGTTCCACAACCTGCTCCCCACCAAATGCCCGTCATCGGGGTGTACATCGACCCTCGCGTCAGAACCGGTTTCAGATATAAAGTTAGACCGATGCAGGTGAGACGAATAATTTAATAAAACTTCTTTACTTGTCGTAATCCTATCACAGTGCAGGGCGGTGTTGAATCGTCGAGATTGAAAAAGATCTAACAAGAAGTGTTGATGATTGCGACGTTATTGTTTAAAAAGTACAAGCAATCTTCCACATTTCGAAAGTTCAAATAGAAGAAGATAAAGAAATACAATAAAATATCCGACGATTCATCACACGAGTATATACTTAACTGTCGCTTTATCATCGATGATGTATCCAATCACAAAACGCTTTTGTATCATCAATGTGGAGTTTCCATTAGGAACACACCAGAAAAACTACGAAGATCCATATCAGATTCGGTCAAAATTAATTTAACTGAACCGCGAAAGAAATGGCTATGGTTGATGTTATTCGAACAAATTAGAAATGAGTTTGGACGTTAGTACATATTGAAGGAATTTTATAGTTTGTAGAGAATCATGGAAAAAATGTTTATCTCATGTTAAGGAATCTTCAAGATATTTTAACTTGTATTACTTACTTAAAATATATTTGCCGAAGCAACTGAAATGCTTACATTAAAAAAAAAATAGTTTTGTTCTGAATAATTTATCGCGTTTTTACCAAAAATCGAAATAAATTGAGATCGGTTGTGGTTACTCTTGGGACATTTATGCAAGGTTTAATTTTCAGAATCATTAGGATGGTGAGTGTATTGGTATATCTTGCAAATATGTTCATCAACTTTGCGAAAATTCTTATGTTTTCAACAATAACAAACAAAACATTAAAACACTACAAACAATAAACAATTTTGGATCTTTATAGTTATTTGAAGAATATTCGCGAAGTTTCATTTTATGTAACTACAACAGATTCATGTTTTAAATAATTAACTGCATGTTAATAAATTATTTTCTATAATATTATTACATGAAGTTGATTCAAACGTAAGGTTGTCATGTTACTTGTTTAATTACTTTTTCTTATGACAAGATAGAATTAATAGAAATTGTTTCTTGATCAAATGATTATTACTTGCGTCGCACCATGCTGTCAGTTTTTTATTATTTTGTAAATACAATTTATGAATCAATAATTTTAGCTTTAATTGTAGTGGCAACCTTACAAAATATTCAAGGTGATTGGAAAACATACAAATTATTAATATAATGAAATTTTTATGAAGTCCAAACTCAATTCTGGAATATCCGCTAGCCGATTTCAGCGGTTCAGGTCAATTCGGTCAATTATTAAATGCGGGTTAGTCAGTGAGTAGCGGTGTCCGTTGCTGCAATTTCCAGAGTGAAAATGTCACCAACGACCAACACTGTTATCTTACATTTCGCGTCAAAGGTTGTTGCTCTTGTCGTGTAGGCGATGGTATGTGGATCGTCCAGTTTTTCAGAACCTCGCCCAGAGCGGCGTTGAAATCAAACCACGAAGCTTGCGGACTCAACAGGTCGAATGTGACACGGATGGCAGCATGTTCTGTCCAAAATAGGTAAACCATAAGTATCATTCATAAGGGCTACATGCCACACATTTGTGTTCAACTATCCATTTTGTCGTCATGTAATGATTGTTTCTTCGCATCTATTGTAAGTAATAGTGGCTATCGCATCTAATGTTCCGTACACTCATTTCATTGTAATGTAATGATTTTTTCCATTTACGTGACGATGATAAAAGATGACTGAAAAATCATTCATTGCATGGGGCACAAAATTCATAAGGGTTTCAAAATAAATTAATGAAGAGCATCTTGTTTTAAAAGAAAATAATATATTTTTTAAATACAATTTTAAAACAAATAACTGAAGTATATTTACTTAACTATTGGTCAATATTGTTTTAATTATGCAGTATAAAAAGAAAATGAATTAAAAAACAGTATGAAGTAAATAAGATTGGAATATTAGTAGAGCAGCTTTATCAATATTATTCATGATTTCAGAGTTTGGATGCCCAGCCCCTGTCTGTGAAGCCAAGATACTTATTCGGAGGAAAGGCTCTAACTCTTCAGTCCATTGGACGTGGATTTGCCCGGCGTCTCACTTTTGAGCCAGTCGACTCAAGTCTGAATGAGAATACCAATTATTTCTGGACTGATTCAAGACCGGAAGGATTTGTGTTTGAGATAGAGGCAGTGTCTGTTGGAGACAAATTCACTATTTATGATGCTAATCATGAACCTCAGGGGACTCTGGAGGTGGTTCAACAGCAGGTAAGTAAAGTGTAAAAATATTTAGTTACATTTATTCAATATATGTTTTATAGTATTATTTGAAACTAACTTGAAATCTCATGTTCTCTTTCAGAAAAATCAAGTAGAGCTTGATCAAAAGATCTCTGAAGATGGATCAATTGAGAAGAAGGTGAAAATCAACACGTTATGCAAAGTCGAATGGTATGAAAATGATGGTGCTACTAAACTGGTACCAGTAACTGGTGTAGCTATTCTCAAAAAGGGAAGAGGCCAAGCAGTCGTCACTAGAGTAATCAATGCCGCTATCGGCATCAAGCAACTGAAGAAGGGTTATGAACTCCGACCAGGCATTGTATCATCGGCCCGAAGAATCACTGTGAGTGGTGCAGAAATCAAAGACATTCCATGCCAGTATAGTTTAGTCGGACTCGAGAGATACGAGCTTCCTGTTATAGGTAAATATTTTTTACATTTGCATTTTTTATTATACCTACCCTAAACAATAATTTTGCTAATATTGAACTTATCTTTCCTATTACAGGAACTTATGTGGATCCACGAATTATACCTGGATTCCATTACCGAGTACGTCCTGCTGGTAGCAGAAGGCATTTATTCGAGGGCCGCAGTTTACTCCTACAATCGATTGGCATGGGCTACGGGAAGCGTATCACTTTCAAGCCCGACACCTTAAATGCTCCAGAAAACTATTTCTGGTCCGATTCCCACCCAGAGGGCATTGGCATGGAGTCCCGCGCTATACATCCAGGAATGAAATTCACTATAACAGGAAATGGGGTAAACATCATTTAGTAGTTAATCATTGACTAAAAAAATCAAAACATATAAATATCGTGTTATATCAGCTGTATCCTGAATCAAATAATACATTTCTCTTTTGGCATGAACCGTTTATAATTGCATTTCTCGTTGGCTTTCAGCCAAGAGCCAAGTTAATTTAAGAACTTACCTTGGCAGTTCGTTCAAATTTCCAAATGCTTATTCATGGTGAAACTTTTTCGCAGGGACTCTTAGGAGAAGCTAGTGTGTTCAGAGCAGATCTGCCTCAAGTGGAGGAGAAGACTGAATATGTTGATGTACCAGGAAAGCGCGGGATGGTAGTCGAGAAATATATACACGTCGATGTAACATGCCACGTAAAACTTGCCACTACCGGAGGCGGTTCAGTTGACTCCGAAGTACACTTAATGAAAGTTTCTGGAGTAGCTTTAGTGCGAAAGGAGCCTGGGAAATCGTGCGCCAAACTCGTTAAAGTATTCAACGTCGGGTTGGATTCTCAGTTGAACTTGCTGTTCGCACACTCACAGACCGAGCTTACATTCCATCCTCTGCCCTAAACAGTTATAAAGGTCTGAATGATGCTGCAATGCCTATGACAAAGTTTGTCAATACTGGTCTTGTTGCATCAAAAAACCCTACCTGGCGCTACAGTGGCTCCGTCAAATGCCAACCGATTTGGTCACAAGTTTGCAACCGAGAATGATGGTCAAAGCTTTACCATCTTGTGCAATTAGCATTCGGTTGTAGATTTTGGTTACACTTCGAAGGATATTAACGAGTTATTTGATTCTAAAATTCGGTAAAACTCATCATTTGTCATCTCAGTAAGAGCTGTTCATTTTAAAATTAAAACACAAGAGAAGCAGTTTAGTAGTTAGCTACGTAATACAATTGGTAGGCTCTTATAACCTATGTTGTTTCTTTATTCTTTGATATAATAAGTTGATCGATCAGTATTCTTACTTATTAATTATATTTGATATTTAAATAGTTAAATTTATGGGAATCTAGAATAGTCTGGTCTACTGATAACTGATAGTCAATAAATTAAGCAATCGGAGAGAATAGTGAAAAGACTTCAATTTGATTTGAAATGAGTTACAATTGTTACTTTAAATTTCTAAAATGGGCACCTAATTTTCATGTTTCCTATGTTGTACCTCGAATATTTTATTCAGATATAATTTAAATAAATGGATTAAATGAATTAAAAGTGTTTTATTTTATTTTAAAACCTATACTATTTACTACAATATATGTTGTATTTTAATTGAACTATTACCTACCTTCAAGAAGTAGGTACTTATATGCAATCCTTTTGGCATGTTTATTGCAATCGCAGTTCCAAAAATACATTTCGGCGATCATCATACTTACCACATGACATGCAATGAGTACTGCGCAAAATAATTTAATAACCGAACTACTGATTATAATAAATTAATTTATAAATTTCTATGTTTTTCGAAAAAAAATGTCCTTAAACAGAAGACTATATATTAAAAACTCATTTAAAATACAGCTTATCAGATTTATAAATTACTAAATATACCTACCTACTTATTATTATTTTTCATTGATATGTTATTGTTCCTAGACCTCGAGCGAAAGACATTAACTTTTTTTTTAACGCAGAGTAATCATCTATCCATCCAAAAATTTCATTTTAGAACCATACGCAACTCGCTCTAAATGATTATTCTAAGGAAGTTAAGAAGGGTCATATGTCATTAAAAGTCGTTCTTAAATGAAATGAAATTAAAAACTACATTAACACTTTGTTCCATCTTTATGATATCTATGGACGTTCTATATAGGCATGATTTAAGAGCACATGAGATATAAGTTCACAATTATATGAAATAGTTGAGAGAATGCTATATAAGAAAGAAGTCTCTTAGATGCGGTCCTACTGTGAATCTTTAGAAGAATTTTCATATGCAGCACTTATAACAACAAAAATAAATAAGAACTTTCACTCACGTCTAAAAAACGATACACTGCAGGTTTTAGTTGTCAGTAAGAAATCATTTTGAAACAATAACTCAAGTTTCTAAAGCTCAGTTCTGAAGATCGACAATAGCGACATAGTTAATTCTTTCGTTAAAAGCTTTTCATTATTATTATTTTATTAATCTCTTTATCTATCATAGTTTTGTTCTGCCAATCCAAGGATGATGTAATAGTCCGGTCAAAATAGACATTCAAGGTTACATTAATTCGCACCTAGCTGAAAATTGGCATGAATGTTGGGAACCCTATTACACACAATTTGTCAATTATCCACATGAATCCAACGTGTGGAAAAAAAATGTAAGGTCAAATATTGCAAAATCGTTTTTTTGAGTTTTCCAGCTAAACGGTAAGTTTTATTATAAAAATAGGTGCGACAAAAATTATTCATCATGCAATTATCTTTAAAAATTGTTCATACACTTTTTGAAGTTATACTTCTTTAGGCGCGTTATGAAAAAATGATGAGAGTGAAATTTTAAGATGCGCGCGCATCACTGTAACACAAAATTTTAACATAATGAAGTTGGTCGCTTTAGCGACCAACTTCATGCGTTACTTTTGTGTTTACCGCACATTAAGAAAATCTACCAACAAAATAGAAATGAGTCTCTCTATTTAGTGGGTGCTAACGACTGCATTGTGAAGGCCTATCAAAAGTATTTATTAATCTGGAACAACGGAACCAAAGCGCGATTCAGGAGACTACAGCGCCATCTCTTGACCATTGGTGTAGTAGAACCAAAAACCACATCTTTATTTTTTGTAATAAAGTAACAAAAAGTATTTATTAATCTGGAACAACGGAACCAAAGCGCGATTCAGGAGACTACAGCGCCATCTCTTGACCATTGGTGTAGTAGAACCAAAAACCACATCTTTATTTTTTGTAATAAAGTAACAGTTATAGGTATTCATATTTATAATATTTATCCACATGTTTCTAGTTTGTATATTCGGAATACGTGTTTGAGTTTCATACAAGTGCAAATCACATATGTTCTAATAAATTATATTCAGTAGCGATTTTAATTGAATATTTTGATTATTTATTTATTTTTTCAAATTAAAACTGAACTTTATTGACTTCGTCCTTTTCCAGACTTTTTATTAATTATTGTAATTAATTATTTGCATGCAATTAAACGAAAAACTAATTTTAAACGATGCCAAAGAAGGATAACTTCTCACGCGCCTACATAAGTACACGCACCCATTTTTTTTTCTTAAGAATCACCATTTCGGAGATATAGCTATGTAAAAAGTTGAAAAAGTTGTGTTACTCATAATATGCACACGTTTCCGCGCCACCCGTGAGGTAGTGAACATGGCACGTTTTATTTTAACGTGCTTTCCACGGTAGGCCTATTCAACTATCTATTGTGGTTCTGTTGAGTTAAAAGCTGTTGTATTAAATTGAAAATGGTACTATTGTAATGACAAGAGCGGTGTAAGTAATGAGTAATTTGAGAAAATTATTCGTTTGATTGATACGCTACTAATGGAACATAATCCATACTGTCTTGTTCTTCTTCTTCTCCTTCTTCTTCCTGATGGGTACAAATAATTTGTTCAAAGAGCGAAGCATCAGATGTCTCCTCGCATATATCGTAAGAATCCTCTTCTACTGGTGATTGAACATTAGAGCACGATTGGCCTCGACAACTGATACATGCTAATGAACAAAACAACCCAACTTTTTTACAGCCGCATTTAGCATTACACCCCGTTTTGCAATTGTAAAAATATGATTTGAGGAGTTTTTCCGGTGCAGGAGGAATTAAAGTTTTAACTGGGTCCAATATATTGTCATTTAACTTCCAACCCCAGTCTTCAGCTATACTTGAACTTGATAATATACCCGAAATAGATGTTGCTAATCAGAAGCAGAGGTTGGAGAAAGACAAGCTAATTGTACTTGTTTTTTTATGCGTATTTTTAGCAAAAGATAAGTATCGAAGCTTATCTAAGCACGTAATTTTTTTTGGAGCTCCGTAAACGGAAAGAAGGAGATGAATTCCGTTGGTGATTACAGCTTGTGGCGCAGTGGAGTAGAGTAGTACATAGCTTATAAATATTATCGTTCTGTAACGTATATAACAGTAACTGACATACATAATATGAAGAATACAACTTTTTCAACATTTTGCATCGCTATATCTCCGAAATGGTGATTCTTAGGAAAAAAAGTGTATGAACAATTTTTAAAGATGAATAATTTTTGCCTCACCTATTTTTATAATAAAACTTACCGTTTAGCTGGAAAACTCAAAAAGCCGATCTTTGCAACCTTCAATATTTTTTTTTCCACACGTTGGATTCATGTGGATAATTGACAAATTGTGTGTAACAGGGTTCCCAACATTCATGCCAATTTTCAGCTAGGTGCGAATTAATGTAATCTTACCCCTATTTTTGAAGCTAATTTGACCGGACTATAAAAGTAGTATTTATCTTGTAAAGTTCGTGAAGAATTTGAGTGTTTGAATTTTTAGATTAGTAAATGCATACCTAAATAGAATTCTTTAAATCTCTAGTATTCTATTATGTGTTAGAAATCAGACCCCAAGGTTATTTCTAGATTAATAATTATTTTTAAAAGACACACGCGTAATACATATTTCTAGGAGCCTTATGTTGTAGTTTTCCAATGATTCCCTTCAGAAGAAATTTTTTATACTAGTATCAACCTGCCTCACATTAGGTAGAGTAAACTTAACACATTTTGTCTTACTGGAGTTTAGTTTTAAATTAAGTATTTACCGTAAACCAATGAAGGACTTCAGAGAGAACACAATTACTTCGTCATAGCAATCATTTACTCATGTAGCTTTAAACACTAAAGAGGTGTCATCAGCAAATAGTACTGTCTCACACAAATCTCTTGTAAAGTGAGGAAGGAGAAAGATAAACAGGAAATATTTTTTTCATTGGTTTTTGCTTGAATTTTACAATTCTCACTCGAATATCTAAAGAGAGTTAACTCAAACATTCAGATTTTTTAATAGTATTGTATAGCTTGGAATGCGTTGATGTTTATCAAATTAAACAGAAGTCTTCGAGTGAATTTCCGACTTTCAATTGACCAGTTTTTATTTAAAGCTCAAATAATTTTGTAAGTTTTGGTTCTGAACTAATTAGCCTTTACATTTTTGATACCATTCGAAGTAGAAGAATTGTTTCTTGAATAGTAGATGGCTAATGTTTGTACATTAGCCATCTACTGCATATGTACCGAACTAGTATGTATTTGAAAACGCACAAGTACTTAGTATTCTCTCGTTTCGTACTAGATGGAAGCACTGAGTTTCAAGTGGTACGGATCTAGTTACATAGATGGCGCTGTTATTCAAAAGTTATAAATCGCATACCGTACGTGCCTGTAGTGTTATGACCGCGTGTTTGCTCGCCAGCGAACTGTGGCAGCGAGCGACTCTACAGTCTCTACACTGTCGAGTAAGATCGGGAATACTCGACCGGTGAACGGCGCCCGTGCTGGGGGTCTATCGACACTCGCCGTGCCGAAACTAAATACGAAAACCGCGATGTGTCAAACAATAAACAGAAACAAGTGAATAAGTGAAAAAAACAAAATATTCGAAATAGTAACGAACCTCATTGAAGATGGCTTTACGTCTACGAGTTTTGTGCGGTGGTGTTTTATTATTGTGCATTTTACACAGTGCCGCTAATTTCAATCTAGAACCGAGAATCCCTGTAATAAAATTCGGAGAAACTGGTTCGTACTTTGGATTTTCCGTTGCCGAGCATCTCACCATTGAGGATGGCGGGAAAACGACAAGCTGGTAAGTAATTAATGTAACTAATTCCCAAGTGATAGCATAGCAGGGAATGATGTCATATATGAAGGCCGCCCTCCATCTGTTTTCTATGATCTCAACTTAATGTTGTATGTTTCACACACAAGTTTCAAGAATATAATATCGAAGTGTGATATCACATTTATCAGAAGTGTGGCCCTTATCAGTAACTACGAAGTCATTGTGTTACTCGGCGAATTCTGTATGTTTGACTTGCTGTAAGGTTCGTTGTTTTATTGAATATTTGCTTAGCTAGGATATACAAAATAATTAAGATCATTTCTAATAATAAAGTTATTTTTTAATTTACGTTTCAGGCCTCGTTTCGGAAATAATATAAATAATAACTATATAATTACGATTTTACATAAATAGTTATAACGTAACATTATATTTTTGGTTTAATTGATAACATATGTGTTAATGTAATAGGTCATATTACTTTACGCAAATGAAATAAAAGAAAATATATAAAGTCATGGTTGAAATTAGAGTGCTTTTTTCAGTCGTTTGAAATCAGTATTTCAAAAGTATTTCTAAACAAAATGTACTTATAATATGAAAGCAGGTTATTGGGTGGACAATGGCTCCGAAGCTTGGCCTCGGGATAAAGAGCTTATAAAAAAGCTTAACCGACCCCCTATACAGCCTTTCTGTTGCAAACAAAACTGAACAGGTACTTAGGTACCTGTTCAGTTTTGTTTGCAACCGTCATTAAAAAAAGCCTATTTATATTACCTTTTTCAAGGTTTCGGTATTAAAGTTATTTTGCTATGAAGGGGCTATTTTTTTACAATATTTTGTTTTATTATTTGATCTTGGTTGTAATATAGAGAAATATTTTTCTTTATCGAAGCTCTATTAGTGTCTCCCTTATGGCATAAACCATAAGAATTGCCATAGCTTACAAAAATAAAGCTTATATAAAAGCTTGTTATAAAAGCTCAAGCTTGATGTTCTCTCCGAAGCTTTATAGAAGATTCAAATCACGATATTTTTCACCCAGCCGATAAGCAGTTTCCATGAGCGTTTTGTCATACAATAATATAATTTTCTTTATATCTAAATTTGCAATTTATCAGATCGATTTAAGATTGCTTTTCTACTTTTATTCATCAGCGCAAATACCTTTTTCAATTCGTAAGTAACAATAAATTTTATATACATGCTATTAAGACTACCTCTGTATGTGTTCTTACTGTGAATGAACTTTGTTAGACTTCAGTCTGCACCATTATTGTTCTCTGCGAGATAAGTAGGTATCTATACCTACCTAGTGCATATCCACCGTGGGAGAAGTGCAATATTGCTGAAGGCGCCACTCAGCTCTGACCTAGTCGTCAGACGATGGGGCATTGCACTGTCAATTGTACAAAAAAGACTTTCGACCTTGAGCCCTCGCCGATAGAGTTCCTAATCTTCCTTTTAAACGAGAAAAGGTTAAGTTAGTTATAGCAAGTCTCATCGTAACATGACCTACCGCAATTTCACGTTAAAAGGGTGAGAAATTGTTTCAAAAATAGTTCACAAAAGGGTGCTATTTGTAGAACAAAGCTGGCAAAAGATAACAGCCGCAAAGCGAGAAAGTAGCGTTGGGATGAGGTTAAGAGATGGATAGCTTTGACACTTTCTTTGAATTTTTTTTACACCTATGCATGTAATAAATAACGTAATAATATTTGTTGATATAGGTAATTATATACTTACACATGGTCGGAAAGTGCTTTATTCTTTTTTTTAAAATGAAGCAGAAAGGACCTCATAACTGTTGTACTACTAAGCGGGCTGGAAAAATGTATGGAAATCTATTTTTACAGCGCTGAGCCCCTTCAGGTAACCATTTTTCGAATAGGGTTCGTAATAGGAGTTCCGTATGAAAACTTCGATAACGTAACCCAATGCATGAAAAAAATTACTTTATATCGCGTACGATATACGAACGTTTTATAGAGGACATCAATATCTACAAAAAAGATCGCAATACCATATGTCTAACTATTACAGTTATGTCAACTAGAGATCCCCTGCGGTTTCCCCCTCGTTAATTTGTGGAAAAAGGTTATAGTGATCATATAAACTGGGAGGCATATAATAAGCTTGTGGCCAGGCTGATGGTAAGTTACCGCCAGAGGCTAAAGACATTGACGCTACTATAATATAATTTTACTTTCGCTGTTGCTTACTCTGATCCCATCCCCTACCCCGTGGAGCCTTTTTACCTTGCTTTTATTAATATTCCTTATTTTATTTAGTCTTGCGGAGTACTTTTTAATAATTATTGCATTATGTATATTATTTGAAGCTCGGGCACACCTCGGGATTCAAACTACACCATCGTTGGTAATCGGTCACTTTCTCCTCTCAGTGAACAATTGTGTATTTATTGTTTTGAACCTTCATGGTTACAATTATTATAGTAATATAAGTTATTTACGGGATTGTTAACATGTACATTGTTTTCAGCGAGTTTCCGATATTTCAGCACTGTTGCAAGCGCCATGATCACGGAGTTAAGAGTTACTTCCGTGATCATGGCGCTTGCAACAGTGCCGAAATATCGGAAACTCGCTATAAACAAGGTACATGGTAACAATCCCGTAAATAACTTATATTACTTGTGTATTTACTTTCCATCTTGTGCGCATATTTGCATTGTGTTATTGTAGACACCCACGAGGTTTGACTAGTCCAAGGTCTCTTTTTAGAACTGTTTTGTTTTTTCCATCTTGTTTTTGTGCATTTACTCATCATCATCATCAACCTATTTATGTATTACTGCTTAGTGTGCATAGGGTTGCCAACTATATAATATAGTATTCTTCTATATTAGGGGATCAAATACTATATTTCTAAAAAAATATATATGTAGTAGGCGAAACTATTAGATTTTGCTTAAAGCAGACTTTTGCGAGTTAAAGCTTTCCTAACTTAATAATTAAGGCATATTGCAACAAAAGTGTATTCATTTAAACAATTAAGTAAATATTTAAATCTGAAGAAAACATTACTGGAAAAAAATCCACGCGGCCCAGGCAGCAGACGCTTTAAACCTGTAGGTAGATTTTAATAAATTATTAAAGAATATTTTTTATTATATGATGTTACTAAAAATTTACGGTTTTCGCAATTTTTCCTTTATCTGACATTACTTCGTACCAAATTTTAAATTTCTAAGTTCACGGGAAGTGCCCTGTAGGTTTTGATACCCGTTCGAGTTTCGAAAATTTGCGGCATAAACGGCTGTATCTTTTGATTGCTTTGGTTTAGAAGTTTGATTTTTTCACAGCTCCAAGGGGCAGTAGACCTGAGTATTAGATATGAATTTCAGTTTGATACCTCTACGCGTTCCTGAGAAAAAAGGTCTTGACAGGCTGACGGACGGACAGACGGACGGACGGACAACAAAGGATTCCGTTTTTTCCTTTAGAGGTACGGAACCCTTAAAATGATAACTAAAGTAAATATTTTAACCACATACTGAACTTTTTTCTACTTTTTGCCGTCTACATATGAGTTTTTTAAAGGAAACAGCTTCGAAAATAGTATATTTTATAGAAAATTAATTGGTAACCCTAAGTGCGCCAGCGAGCATGGGCTGTATTTTTTAATGTTTTCTACATAATTGTTAACAATTGATTAATGTAGTTTTGTGTTTTTTCTTGGGATCTAAGATTTTTATGCAATCTTTAAATTAATGCAATCGTATCTTCTCTTCAATGGAAGCCGCATTTTCTTCGAATGGGGCGTCAATTCTTGCTGGCTAGCTTCCAACCCCAGTGGAAGATATTCTGAACCCCTCTCTAGTTGAGAAAGTCTCGTTGCTTATACTTAGTACCTAAGTACTAGAAAAAGTTGGTTGGTACTGTTCGTTCTGAGCAGGATGTTATGCAGGCAGCCAGACCTGTTACTCCAATATAAGAAACCCCAATATACTGCTTCAGCATTTACTCAATTTACCTAAACCTTGCGACCGTCTTAGAGCATCAAAAAACGTACGACACCTATGAGACGGACAGATAAATTTAGGTTTGTACTTATTACATACTATATAGCTATACAAATATAGCTACTTCTGTGTAATGCTGCTTATAAGATGCTCTAAACGGATGGAAGAAAATGATATTATTAAGAAATAGCTTTTGTTAATAAATGTATGAATAAAGTAATAAAAATAGCCACACCTCAATGATGTCACATATATCCACAATACACACGATAATATTTCACTAGGAATTTATCGTACATCAGGTCGTATCGATATAGATGCTGATGATAAAAGATAGATTTATTTTCAACTACCGTATCGGCAATATTCTAAAAAAATACAGAAAATGTAAGAATGAAGTATTTTTTTGTAACATAAGGTATTATAAATATCTTTATATGTATAATTCTTCTGTGAGTGTGTATGTCACTGAACTTCTCTTAAACGACTGGACCGATTTTGATGAAATTTTTTGTGTGTGTTCAAGGGGATCTGAGAATGGTTTAGATTCACAATTTTGTCCGCTGGACAACCCCTATTTTTTTAGGGCGGTACGAAGTTCGCTGGGTCGGCTAGTCTTTATATATATAATTTTTCTGTGAGTGTGTATGTCACTGAACTTCTCTTAAACGACTGGACCGATTTTGATGAAATTTTTTGTGTGTGTTCAAGGGGATCTGAGAATGGTTTAGATTCACAAAGACGTGTAGACAGGACAACGTCTGTCGGGTCCGCTAGTATATATATATATATATAGTATATAAACATATTTGGATTTAGAGAAAAATATTCAGATATCATAATATATTCACTTAACGAGTATGATTTTTTTAAAACATTATAGACAGAGGTTTTATTCCAAGCTTAACAATAAAGTTAAACATCGGTAAAATAATAGTTTTAGTATTATGTCCTTTTATTTTAATAAAATCAATGAAGAATTTCAAAACGTCATCTCTTTCTAGTTTTTCATTCGTATGCAAAGTGTCTAATAATGTAA